CGCTCGCTTATAAGTGTATTTCTCTCAAAATCTCACCCTCATGTCATTCCAAACCAGTATGATGTTTTTGTAACATAAAAGATATTTTGATGAATTCTGAATGAATTTTGCATTACACAGAAGAAATTAATTCAGGTTTGGAACATAGTTTTCTTCGGTTCGCTTATAAGTGTATTTCTCTCAAAATCTCACCCTCATGTCATTCCAAACCAGTATGATGTTTTTGTAACATAAAAGATATTTTGATGAATTCTGAATGAATTTTGCATTACACAGAAGAAATTAATTCATACAGGTTTGGAACAACATGAGGGTGAGTAAATAATGGTTCTCATTTTTGGATGGACTGTCCCTTTAAAGCAGCACTATGTAACATTTGGCGCTCTAGCAGTTAATAAACAGAACTGCACACATCCCGCGGAAGAACATTCCAACGAGCTACTTCTCTAAGTTTATGTCTATGGCGATTCACGCAGGTATGTGTTACTCCGCAGCGGTGACCGGTGGTTTATCGTGAAACCGGTAATCGTTCCATCCCTAATTATAAGTGTACCGTAGTGATTCGGAATAAGACAAAAACGCGGTTTGGAAGATGAATTCATGATGTACTCGCTCATTATATACATTTGGCAAATTTTGAACACAGAAAAAGTTACATAATGCTGCTTTAAAGAAGTCAGATTTAGCTTCTGTCAAAGGAGACTCGAGCATAAAAATGAAAATCTTGGGTAAATCTTTTAAAGGTGGATTTTGGCTTTGCTAAGAAGATCGGCTTTGGGAAGAAGACGTGGACATTCTGTGGTACACCAGAGTATGTGGCTCCAGAGATCATCCTGAATAAAGGTCATGACATCTCCGCAGATTACTGGTCCCTCGGAATCCTCATGTACGAGCTGCTGACTGGCAGGTAAGAAACAGGGCTTCATGTGTTTAAAAATACTTCTTCAGTCCTATTAAACATTATTAAAGTATTAGGATTTATAATTTATACTACAAATGCAATGATTTTTAATTCAGTTTTGCCTTTTTATTTTTCAGTCCTCCTTTTTCGGGACCAGATCCAATGAAAACATACAACATCATTCTTAGAGGCATCGACATGGTAGAATTCCCTAAAAAAATTACCAAAAATGCTGCCAATCTCATCAAAAAGCTATGCAGGTATGTCCATCACTATAAAACCCATTGGCTGTCTATTAGCGGTTCCTGTTAATGCAGATTTCTCTTTTCTTCTTCTTAGAGACACGCCGTCTGAAAGATTAGGAAACTTGAAAAATGGAGTCAAAGACATCCAGAAGCACAAGTGAGTTTGCTATTTGCTTTAAAACATGAACATGAAAAATATGCTGATATAGTTTTATGAATCGTCTCATGTAATGAACATGTTTGCAGATGGTTTGAAGGGTTTAACTGGGACGGATTGAGGAAGGGGACACTGACGCCCCCCATCATCCCTAATGTAAGTGCTTACGCTCATGCAAGGCAGATTTTACACCGATGTTAGGACAGAAACATACTCCATGCAAGTACTTTATGCATTATAGGGTTTTTACTGTAATGGTCACCCTGCATATTTTTCTTTAAAAAAAAATGCTTTTACTCAGCAGGGATGCATTAAATTGTTCAAGAGTGAAATCATTAGTCAAATAAATTCTAGGCCACCAAATCAGCATATTAGAATGATTTCTAAAGGATCATGTGACACTGAAGACTGGAGTAATGATGCTGAAAATTCAGCTTTGCATCACAGGAATTAATGACATTTTTAAATATATTAACAGAAAACAGTTATTTTAAATTCTAATATTATTTCACAATATTACTGTTTTTTTATTGAATTTTCTTCAAATAAATGCAGTCTTGGTGAGCAAAAGAGACTTTAAAAACAATAAAAAATTCTTACAGACCCAAATTTTAACAGAAGTGTACAAGTGTATAACTCGCATGCTAACAGTTTTTTGTTTGGTTATTTTTGTAGGTAACATCATCCACAGACACTAGTAACTTTGACAGCTTTCCCGAGGACACTGAAGACCCACCGCCTGATGATAACTCAGGCTGGGACACAGACTTCTAATCAGGCCCAGACACACAACACTGCTCACATGGGACGTCTGCACTACTGGAGAAATGTGGGAAGAAGAGGTGGATGAAATGAAGTGACTCTAAAAGGGCTGTCGCGACAAAACCTGAATCTCTTGCGTGAGCACGTGTCTGTGTGCGTGTTCACCACTGACCCATGATAACCACCTTTACTGTGAGCTGACTGAGAAGACAGTCCATTTAGGGAAAAGCTTGTGACCTCAGCGATTTGTTCTTCCTTATTGGCTGCGAACTCGTCATTCACCGACCCTTGTGCAGACTACTTGAAAGAAGACCTGAATGTTGCTCTTAAAGTAATACTCGTTCGTTATAGCACATGTACATAATAGCATAGCATCACTACCCTGAGAAACTCACGCATACGCCGGCGTTAACTGTCACGTGCATCACACACTTCAAACACACACAGACATCATAGACGCATCTTCTCGCCTCTCTTTGCTGTTAATTTATTGTCCTGGCGGACGGCCATTACGGTTTATGATATTCTGAGCCCAGTGCTGGTCTTCTCAAACTTCATCCAATGAAATGATGTGCCTCAAATTCATAGCTCCATTAATAGTGTACTGTATTTATTGTCTCAGATTTATAAGAATTAGGAGATAAGTACTGACCACTGTGAATGGCCAGAGTTGAAACAGGAACGGATGTGGGATTGGTTTGCCTTCTATGGCCATTCTTAAATTCAAATGCAGGTACAACGTAATCCTGATTTCTCCACAGATTCAGCCGTATCAGATCATGAACAGTATTAGTGCCTTAAATCAACGGCATTCTGCGACGCTCCTCATGCTGCATGTCAGAATACGATCCCTTCAGCCTGCTGCTGTCCATCAGACGCTCTCTGTCTAGTTGTGTTTTTTTTACACAATAAAACAACTGTTTTAGACACTCACTGTGTCCTCACATGATCTGCCACTGTCTTTTATGGATCTGAAATGTTTAAAATGCGAATTGTTTTAGAGCTGGGCTTTTTTATTTAGGAAATTATTTAGTTTATTTTTAAAATGTCATGTGATGCAAAGCTGAATTTTCAGCATCATTACTCCTGTCTTCAGTGCCACATGATCCTTAAGAAAACTCTAATATGCTCATTTGCTGCTTAAGAATATATTATTATTATATTTATTTGAAGCTTGACAGCACCTGGTCTTTCTCTATGCTGAAAAACACGATTAGGACATTCTACGGAATTCACCTTTTTATAGGTCATGAGGGTTAGTAAATTATATTTTAATTTTTGGGTGATGTGGTATTTTTCTTAAAAGAACCAAAGACTTAAACTACTTCAGTCTGTGTGCACTGAATTTATTTAATACACGAGTTTCACAATGTGAGTTGAATTACTGAAATAAATGAACTTTTCCACGACATTCTAATTTATTGAGATGCACCTGTATTTCACTCCAAAATCAAAAGAATAAATATAAGTAATTAAATTCTGCATAAAGAAATGTGAGCCTACCTTTAGGTCCTTTACGTTTTGTTTTTTTTTGCATTGTGACATTTTCATATGCCTATGGATGTTTTATTGTTTTACTTTTATATGTGTGTTTGTGTGTGTTTTATGTTGATTGACACTATACCAGTCAAAAGTTAATTAAGATTTGTAATGTTTTTGAAAGTCTCTTATGCTGACCAAGGCCATATTTATTTGATTTAAAATGCTGTAAAACGATAATATTATTATTATTACTAGAAATATTATTACAATTTAAAATAAATGTTTTCTGTTTTAATATAATCTAAAATGTAATTTACTCATTTAAATATACGTTACATATGAACTGATTTGGTGGAAACATTTTTATTATCATCAATGTTGAACAGTTGTACTATATTTGTGAAAGCCGTGATAGTAAATCAATTTATAATGTTACAAAATATTTCTTTTTCAAATAAATGCTGTTCCATTGAAAAATGTATCACTGTTTCCTCAAAAATCTTAAGCAGCAAAAACAATTTTTTTTAAACATTGCTAATAATAAGGCCCATCATTAATAATTAAGCAGCAAATCAGCATATTAAAATGATTTCTGAAGGATCATGTGCCATTGAAGACTGGAATAATGATGCTGAAAATTCAGCTTTACATCACAGGTAAAATTACATTTGAAAATATATTCAAATAAAAAAGTTTTTAAATTGTAATTTTTTTTAGCAATATTACTGTTTTTACTGTATTTTTAATCAAATAAATTACTTCTTTTAAAAGCATAAAAAAATCTTAATTATTCCAAACTGTTGACCAGTAGTGTATATTCCCTTTACTATATTACAAATACACTGCATTAGTAAGAAATACTGTAAAATAGTTTATATTTAAATTAGCACATGGCATAACATCAAATATTTGGGCAAAAAATGGGCAGTGATTATATATGGTTTTAAATGTCCCAAAGACTTCATTTATAATATTCTTTATTTCCTTTTGGAATGAAATATAACCAAAACATGTTCTGGTTCTTGAGACTTTTATATTTCCCTTGCTCCTCCTCTCTGAGCACATCCTTAATGACAGAACACGGGTAGGACCTCAAATTTGATTATTTACTGCAATTAAATTACAATTTGTCTGGCATCACCAGAGGATATGATGATGATCTGCTGTTTTCACGCAGAAAGGGCCATATAGGCTAGATCTGCTTACCCTGGAGGAATGAGTCTCCCAGACTCTGAAATGAGTTTCATGGTAAGTTCACTGTGCAGTCAGGCAGAGACATTCAGCCTCAAAGCAGAAATAACTTCAGATTCATTTGTTCCATCATTAATGAATTTGCATAGAAATATGCTACACGGCAATAACATTACTGAAACTAAACAACAAAATTGTAATCGTTTTTTTTCTATTTGTTTTTCTAGACCTATCACTTGTCTTATTCATTAATGTTTCATGTATAAAGTGAATGCCGAGTGCCTCTACTAAAAGTTATGCTGCTAAAATAATGAGAAGCCGTCTTTAAATATTCTAAACCTCAATTCTGTGTTAATTAAACACTCCATACAAGATTTTTAATGATTTTTTAAAGCCTCATGATCTGTAGGGGGCAGCAATTCACCATTTCACACAAAAGCGCCAGCAAAACCCAAGATTCATGTGAAGAGCACTAACAGTGTCTAATAACCTATCAACTCACAGTCAGTGTCAGTTCTATGAAACTATGAAAAAGACTGAATTGAATAGAGTTACACTTTTGTGTTCCTGTTTTAATAATGTCTCAGCTAACCACTCAACGAATAAATTGTTACAACTAAAGGGATTTAATAATAATACAGCTGAAAAAAAGAACAGCAGATGTTAGGTGTTTCCACAATGTAGCCTATTTGACACCAAAATCTGATTGTTTAGCAAAGTCTACAATAAGGGCAATGCATTTAGTGGAAAAGGTTTTTATTCCACTTTAATTTATTCCAGTGAAACGTTTTTCCATTTCAGACTTGTATAGCTACGTTTTATAAACTTATAATACTGGCCATAGTTCAACTATTAGCCTATCTAACAACTACGCTATTTATGCACCTAATGTATAGACAATGTAAGCTTAGTGAATCCTGAACCCTGTTAAACTCCGTTTATATATATATATATATATATATATCCACAGAAGATGCACTTCATTTCAGTGAAGAGGAAGATCTGTTTTTTTTAATTGCAGTAAGTTAGATAAACGCGTGAAACATTAACGTGCATATTATTTTTATGTGCTGACAGAAAAATGATCAGGTTTAAGCTCTAGAGCTAGTTAACAGAGGTCTGCTGACAGGTACTGTCGTGTATAATGATATCCCTTAAATTCCACTTTAAGCGCTTAAAGTTGTCATTCTGTTTCTGAGGGGGCGCCACGGTAATTACGCACAGCTATTGCGAAAGACGGATTATGATAACAAGGGCGTGGCTTCGGAATATTCATTAGGTTACGCAATAGAACGGTACGCAGCTTGATTCATATTCATGAGCCGGGGATGCTGCGCGCCTTAGCAGAACTATTTCCATCGCCTGCGCAAACATGAGTTCATCCAGCACGTCTGCGCAGGCGATGAGAGGGGCGGTGGAGAGTGTGTTTGATGGCCTCGTACAGTCATTTAAAAGGGGCGGGAATATACAAACAGTCCCGCACGTATAAAACTCTTGGAGACGCATGAAGTGTTGTGGAGTTTGGACATTATGCGTGACATACCGACAGAGAAGAACATGAGGAACGTGCTCTCACTACTCACCGTTGTGACTGTTTATCTCGCGGTTTGGGGCGGAATCACTGCGGATGCTCAAGCTGGAGCTGTGTTACGGAACTCCATCAGGCATCTGCCCGCAGCATCCAGTCCGAGTGACGCGGTGAGCGCGAGCGCGAGCCCGCGCGTTACCGGCACCGCGGACAGCCACGCTCCGGTACGTGATCACGGGATGCTGAAACGCACAGAGGATTTAAAAGGACTCAGTTTGAGATGATTTTTAAATTCCTTTGGGGTTTTATGGCATGCATGTGCTTTTAAAGGAGCCATTCAAATAAAGTTTATTGTGATGATTTGCTCTTCCACAGTCGCCGCACTGCGCCGCCGATGATGAGTGCAGACTCGGTGAGTTTTGTAACGGCTCTCGCGGAGTTTGTCTCTCGTGCCGCAAGCGGAGGAAGCGCTGCGCTCGTGACGGGATGTGCTGCGCTGGAAATCGATGCATCAATGGTACATACCAAAGATCGTTTTGTGTTTTATCCATTATAGTTTGTATGAAGATTCATTTTCCCATTCGTCTCTCTCTCAGGTGTGTGTCAACCTGCTGATACAGACGCTACCGGCACGGCAGATGCCGCTCTACCGGTTGGCAACACGGATGAGCCAAATATGCCTGTAACACGTGGGCAGAACTTCACACATCCTAAAAGAACCACCAGCCTACCAAAACCACAGCAGCCACTCAAAGGTGTCAAATATGTCTTTTCTTTTTCCCCCCTTTCATTTTCTTTTCTTTTCCTCTCTTCTGCTTCTCATCTTGCCTATT